TCATGGTTTCTGATATTCATTTTTGATTTTTCACTCATAAGCAAACCTACATCTTTAGTTCCTTGCATTTATTGTATTTATTAATTCCACTTCACAAGATCAAACAACTGCCATTCAAATCTGCTATATCCTATCTACTTTTAATCAAAAGCGCACAACATAAATCCAATCGTCATAGCTTTTTCCAAATTATTAATGAATATGTTAAATATATTTTTATTCATGATAAATAGGCCTTTCTATTATCTATCCTTCACATCTAATATGTCTCTGGTTCCTCATGGTCTCCTTGTATGTAAAAGGAAGCAGATAATCTCTCTGCCTTCTTTTCTTATTTTTTTAATTTAATTTTTAATATTGAAGCACAAAGGAAAATATGTGAAATGGATTATATAGTAATAGAAAAAAAACCTAAATATGTCATAATAATTATATGAGCTAAAGGTACTAAAAAGCCAGATTAACAAAAAGAAAATGCCATAAAATTATAAATATGTATATGGAATTAATTCAGTCATTAAGTTTATCATTAAATCTGAACCCCAAGGCAGTACACTGTACTACCATTTCGTTTGTAGAACACAAAGACTTCAAAAATGGATAACTCGTATCCTGAATCTATTCTTTAAAATTAGGATAGTGATTTTCTTTCCACATACATAGAATCAACTTCTTTGCACTTCTTGGTAAACAGGGCAAAGTTCTTCATAAAATGACTAATTATTTGTTTTAAGAATAAAACATCCTTCAAACCTTAAATACATTTCTTTCCAAAATTGTATTAGTGCTGTATATGCGTTAATTTGAAACCAAAACAAATCTATAGCACAATAAGATCAAATCACGTGAGTTAAAAATGTTCAAATTCTTACATCACCACCATAAGAATTCTAATGTCTATTTTTTGTAAAGTATTCTTTGAGGGATCTAATATAGTTAAAATATTATTTTTGATGAAGAAATTATAGTTTTAAATCTTAGAAATGTTCTAAATGATATTTTTAATGCCTGATTCCACTGGTTTTCCAAAATTGATATTCAAATTCTTTCTTCCACAGATCAAATATAAAATTAACCTCTTAATACCATATACAATTAAATTATTAGTTTCTGTTCAAGTGCAATATATTTTGTTTGTATATTTCTGTGTGTCTGTGTATGTGTGTTTAAAACCCAAAATTTAACAATCTCCCAAAATCTTTAAAACAATAATTAAAAATCAATTTATTTGAAGTATTAATTGCCCGGTTAGCCCTAGTACTTCAGTGGAGCATCTTCCTTGCTATTTTCAAGTGATGATCACTGCATCAACTTCTCATGTGATTCAGGATCAAACCATAACCATTCCTATCTATTAACTTCCAAATATGCATAGCAACTTTCAAAGCAGGAAACAAAGGTTCTTCAGGTTCTGTATATTTGCAGCCTATATAACTTGCCAAGATCTCAAAGGTGTTTACATGTGTGCTCTCCAAATAGGGCTACAGAAAAACGTAATTGTAATGTCTCATTTGAAAAAAAAATGTTAAAATAAAAAGCCAATGATAGAGTTGAAAATCTAGTTGGTTAAACCCATCATTCTCATAAAGTAAGCACAATCTAGCCAGTGATATTCTAGGGCAGGGTTGTGAAACTCCCAGCCCGCGGGACGGATGCGTCACGTGCTGGCTATGCCCACGCCTGGTGTAGCGAACAGGGAAAAAGTCCCGATATGTCACGTGACAACGCCGTGATGCCATGAGTTTGACACCCCTGTTCTAGGGGAAGGTTTCTCAACTGGGAATCCCAAGATTTATTTTTTAAAAAGCAACGACTGAACAAAACAATCTCCAACATTGGGATGGCCCACTGCACTGTCCACATGTAGAGGAAGGAGGAGCAGAAAGTGATGGGAGAGTCCTTGAGAGGGGCTTGCAGGGGCTCTCCCTGCCTGCTCATGTTTGCCTTTCTGCAGGCTCAGCAGCTTGGATCAGGGCTTCATCTCAGAGGGAGAACAGAAGATCCTGAGCAAAGTTGATCTAGGCACCCACAGAGATTGGGTGGAGAGGAGAAATGGGAATGGAAAAAGTTTACTTCCTTAATTTTAGTTTAAGAAGTCCGTTAAAGCATATACATAGGCCTACCCATGAAATTCATGTAATAATTTTTTAACTCTTGACAAATAGAATAGAATAGAATAGAATAGAATAGAATAGAATAGAATAGAATAGAATAGAATAGAATAGAATAGAATAGAATAACAGAGTTGGAAGGGACCTTGGAGGTCTTCTAGTCCATCCCCCTGCCTAGCAGGAAACCCTACACCACTTCAGACAAATGGTTATCCAACGTCTTCTTAAAAATTACCAGTGTTGGAGCATTCACAACTTCTGGAGGCAAGTAGTTCCATTGATTAATTGTTCTAACTGTCAGGAAATTTCTCCTTAGTTCTAAGTAGCTTTTCACCTTAATTACTTTCCACCCATTGCTTCTTGTCCTGCCCTCAGGTGCTTTGAAGAATAGCTTGACTCCCTCTTCTTTGTGGCAGCCCCTGAGATATTGGAACATTGCTATCATATCACCCCTAGTCCTTCTTTTCATTAAACTAGACATACCCAGTTCCTGTAACTGTTCTTCATGTGTTTTAGCCTCCAGTCCCCTAATCATCTTTGTTGCTCTTCTTTCCACTCTTTCTAGAGTTTCAACATCTTTTTAACATCGTGGCAACCAAAACTGAATGCAGTACTCCCAAGTGTGGCCTTACCAAGGCATTATAAAGTGGTATTAACACTTCACATGATCTTGATTCTATCCCTCCGTTTATGTAGGCCAGAACTGTGTTGACTTTTTTGGCAGCTGCTGCACACTGCTGGCTCATATCGAAATGGTTGTCCACTAGGACTGCAAGATCCGTCTCACAGCTACTACTATTGAGCATGGTACTACATATACTGTACCTGTGCATTTTGTTTTTCTTGCCTAAATGTAGACCTTACTTTTTTCACCATTGAATTTCATTTTGTTAGATAGCGCCCAATGCTCAAATCTGTCAAGATCCTTCTGTATCTTGAGCTGGAATGTGCAGGGGTTCTCTGAGGCCTGAAAAATATTCCAAGGGTCCCATCAGGCTCAGAAGGATGAGGAAAGCTGTTCTAGTGGCTTTAACCTGCCATAAACATTTTCTCATTAACTTATCTGTGTGAAATATCTAAATTCTTCCTTCTAATATAGGAACTGGACCCTCCCTTCTAAATCTGGCCTAGCTGTGTGTTATATTTTAAAGAGGATAGCCTCATATTTGAAGGTGCTCTGTATTAGAAGGGCATTCTAACACAATGAAAGGGGGAAATATTGGGAAAGAAAGGAGGGACATTGAAATTGCTCATGAATGCTTTAACATCTGGACAACATTCTAAGCAGGCTCAACTCAGTTTATCTGGTCACTGTCTTCCATCACTATAGTGAAATGTATTTAAGTCACTGACATGATTTCTAAATTTGCCCCAATGTGAATAAATTAGCATTTGCAAATATTATACAAATTAGCTCTCTCTCACACACATACACCTCATGCTATAATTTGTATTAGAACCTGTCTCTTAATCTGCATTGCATACATTATTGCCTGCTATTTAACATGCTACTGATTTGTACAAATACTTTAAGTAGCTGGTTACTTACTGAAAGAGTATTTACCTTTAACATAATGACCAAATACCTTACACTTTGTTCATTTTTAAATTAGTAAAGAATAGTCTATTACCGTATAAGATAAATGATGCTCAATACAAATTGAGAAGTTCCCTGCATAGATTTTCAAATGAGCTAATCCATGTTTTCTTCAATTTCCCTTGGGTTTAGGAAGTTTATTTGTTACTTTTAAATGTATTTTCTGTTTTAGTTCATACAGTTAGAGATTTGCCTAGCTATTTAGAAATTATTGTGTAGTTCAGTACTGTTTAGAAGCTACTGGTTTCATTTCTCTTATAAAAAATTCATCTGTTTATTCAACACTAAATGGAAAGCAGAAAACATAGAAGGAAAGATATATTGGTCAAAAATAACCCTTCCTAAGATTAGGAAGACTAGAAAAGTCCACAATTAAAAATAATAAGTAAGAATACCAAAAACTATATTGCCATCACATGTTTCAAACAGGTTCTATTTATCCACTCCACAGATTCAACAAGGTAGTATTTGCTAAAGAATATCATTTGAAACAACCCCCTAAAAAGGATGTCTATAGCCTTTTGTCATCTGCCACCTTCTCAGTTACGATGTTCAGTGATTTTTGTGAACTTAAGTGGATTTTTTTTCTAGATTCTAATCATGTTCATTTTTAAGGTATTTAACAACCAGAAAATTTAAGAAGGCCAAAGTTTTGCCAAATGAAGACATACCAATTACATAATTTGGAGAGATTTTTCATTACCCTAAACTCAGCTTCTATTTTCAAAATTCCTGTTAAAATATTGATAAAAATAATTAAAACGTTACTTGAAGTGCAGTAGATCAAATCGCTTTAGGCCCAAATCAAATTTATATGCAGGTGAGGTGGGCTGGTTTTTGGTTTATTTATGGGATTTTGTCTTTTTATGCAAAAAATATAGAAAGAGAGAGACTAATAAAACATCTGTTTGCAGTAAAGCATTCTGACTATCAAAACAGGTAATTTGACAAACAATTATTCATTAAACAATTAAACAAAACAATTTTAATATTAGTTTTATATTTCACTAAAGGTATTTGTAAACGAACTTAATCTACATAAGTACAGAAGAAAATCCCAATTACTTTTGTCTAAGTAAATATCCATAAATTACAGTTCTGGATATTTATATTTTTTAATTCAAAAAACCTTTCTAAAGAAATTATTTATTTCTCTAACCTTCTCCAAGTAATTGATCAAAGCCATAGCCTTTTCTTTTATAACAGCCTGCACTGCAGAACAAAAAATGTTGGGCCAAATGTATAGATTGATAAATTGTTCCACCCTTAATAACATTTCAAATGTTACTCACTGTGGATAAAGTAGAAATGAATTTTGCTTGCTGGAATCCAGTTTCAAAATTTTGTTTCAAAAAACTGTTGAATCTTTCTTTCTTCATCGTCCTAGAGATAAAATTTCAATTTGAGAGCCCAGTTTCAGCAGCAAATAGTCCTCCATTTTAGGAATTTTTTAATTGTGTGCAGCACAGTTAAAATGAGTCCCAGAATCTGCTTACTTATTTCTAGATTTGGATTGGTCAAATGGAGGTTAACTTTCAGCTATGACCTTGCTCTTGATTTTCTTTTCAATTCTTAGAGGCCAATCTGGTTTGTGTTGTTGGTATACAAGCAATTTCAAATGACCTAAATTTAAAAAAAAAAAAATCATTTCTGAAGGAGAAGCAAAGTTGTCCAAGATGTATAAGGGCCCGAGGATTCAACAAAGCTGCATTTTGGATACTGAATAAGAGCTAGAAGTCCAGGAGACCAGACATCTATGGAGATTCTCAGTTATCCAGGTCATGGTTGTCCAAAAGGTGCTTTTTCAAGAGGCAACTGGACTTTCTGGTTTTTCTTTGAAGACGTTTCATTTCTCATCCAAGAAGCTTCTTCAGCTCTGGCTGGATGGTGGGGAATGGAAGGATTTATACTCCTTGCAGACAGCTGATCATTTGCATTCTTTTTAGAGAGTCATTGAGACCTGGAGGTTTATCTGTGTCGTCAGGGTCACCTGAGTATTGCAAATGGGTGTGGAGCCTTCTTGGAACTGTTGAGACCAGGAGACCAGACCCAATTATTGTGCTTGTTTGTTTTGGGTGGCCATGATTTGATCATGATAAAATGTTCACCTCTGAAGTCAAAATGGCCCTGAAGATCCAAGAATAAAAATTGAAGCTCAGCTGGAGCTTGCTTGCTTGCTTGCTTGCTTGCTTGCTTCCTTCCTTCCAAAGGCCCGGCCTTGCTATCCATATGGATGTAGTTCTCTTGACCAATGAGGAGTGGACATGGCCCACTCGCAGCCCATTTCCCAGATGAACAGTTCTTAGTCCACTCAATGCGTTCATTACCAGATGCAGCATTACTTTCAGGTAGCTAAGAATGAGACGGCAATTAATCAGCATTCTTAATCAGGCTTTCCAGGCTTTCCCTCTTCTCACCCCCCAACTCCTTTTCATTGTCTATAGCTCCTCTGGCTGCTCAGCGAGTGGTGGTGGCTGTTGCTTCTGCTGCTCCTGCTGCATTTGCTGCTGCCACCATCTCTACTGCACTCTGATGTCATCCATTTCTGGAGCTGCGTGCTCTGAAGCGAGCGAGACAGAGTATAGGATCTCTGGTAATTGCATCCTTCGTCGTTTTGCTACACCTTCAGCCATAGGATGAACAGAGCTCTGAATGAAAACAGCTTCTGATCTTATTGAGAAAGTCCTGGAAGCAAGTGGCTGTGCTTAAAATTCCACGCATGTGTGTCTGGGATGCAGCCCTGACAGTTGGTGAATGATGGCAATGGTGATCGCCAGCATATCAGAGGAAGTTTCTGGTGCAGGATTTGTGTGATGTTTTCAGAAGGCACCCGCACCTGTCTGTTTCTATGCCACTGCTTCTTCCCATTGCTTTCACATCAGGCCTTTCGATATCTGATACAGAGGGCTTGTCTGATAGGTTTATGTAAACAAAGAATGACCTTTTTCTCCTCCCCTCCGCCCCTGCCTTTCCCCAGATTTCTCTACAGATGACCTTTACTGGAGCTCAAAAGATAGTTTTATATATTTTGGCTTTTCTGTGTTGCAAAACAAGATTTCAGCTGAGATGCAAAGAACGCGTGGGAGAGAATTGCATGCACAGTCTGAGTTTAGCTTGCTGTTTTGCTCACAAAATATCTTACTGCCAAAGAAACAATCCACTTGCTGAACAGATGATAGCAATAACATATGCCAGTTCTTAACCATTGTAAATAATTGCTCCCTGGAACTGTGTCTGGACCCTCCCCCCTAACATGCAAATTAGTATTTGCATTATAAACAAACACCCTGCCATGTATCTTTCAAGGTCAGCCTCCCAGAGGAGGTATATTGTATCAATTTTGTTTAATTTTGTTTAATTTACTGATTTGCTTTAATTTACAAAGTAAATTAAACAAAATTTGCAATTTTGTTTAATTTACTGATATATGATTTTTTCTGAATATTAACAATTTTACTATTATATGAGTAATCATAAAAGTACTAAAGTTTACAGTACTAAAGTTTGAAGTACTAAAATATGCAGACTATATAAGATTTTGACTGGATCACTCCAAGAATCCAATCGACTCTAGAGTCATATTTCCTATAGTGACAAATTACATGTATGGACTATGAAACAGGTAGCAATTGATGGGAATGGCCCACTCACATTTACATTCTTTGGCTACTGGAATTTATAGACATGCTCCCTCTGCTTTTATTTATTTAATTTATTTATTTATTGGTTCGATTTATATGCCGCCCTTTTCCGGAGACTCAGGGCAGCTTACAATGTGTTAAGCAATAGCCTTCATACTTTTGTATATACCTGCTTAGTAGGGCTTTCGGGGCCTCCCTAAGCGGTGTTCTTTTTTATACAAAATCAGTTTATTGCCCCCACAAACCGGGTTTTAGCCATCATGATTAGTAGTTATTGCTAGCCTTCACCTATAATTTGATAGTCAACTTAATGGTAGAACAGGAAGTTAAATCTTTAACATTTGGCTCTAAATCAAGTGTGCATAATACTGGCCTTGTATTGTATTTTTGGAGCTTTGGGGCACGAGTACCATTATTTTCCACATTCTTGGACATTCTAATGTGGACAGGGAAGAGGAGATGAATAACTTATTGAAGTTCAATGACTCCATTGAGCTCATCTCCATTTGAAGATGTCCCTTTAATCATAGTGGGCCAAACTGAGACAACTAAATCCCAACATTATGAAAACAGAATGTGATTTTATTTTTGGTATTATTTGTTTCATATGGCTGTGCTCATTCGCAGTCAACAACAGTCTCTTGTGTGCAGTTCCTGCCTGGTGAAACTTGCTATCAATTATTTTGGCTTGCTGTGTTAATTTTACTGAGTATGATTTATGCCACTTTCCTCTGTAATTCTAAATCAACTTTAGGCTTTTATCTCTGTGATCACAGAATTGTCCCAAATAAATAATTTGAGCACTCAGATTCTTTTGTGCCTTCATTTATGTATGTCTTCAGCCACCAGCTATCAGCTTCACTGCATTTTTTTTTAAAAGGCGCATAAGCATTCTTTTCCTTTTCTCACTCTGTCTAGACCCACCTGTAGAAATCTCTCACTGAAGCAAGTGCTACTGCTCCAAATTCACCAAGTTCTTTGCAAAACCAACTTGTAGACACCTCTGCTCAAACCATAAGGCTATATAAGCATGTTTTTTCTGTCACTGCTTCTCTCCTTTTATATTCGAATAGCTTCTTCCCTGTTAGCATTTAGAAGTCTAAAAAGGTTGAATTCAATGTTTTCCCCTCTAGTAACATAAATATTTCTAAGGGAAAGGGAAGAAGAGCAATTAATCCCAGAGTTTACAGTGTGATTGTGTGGTTCTGATTTGTCAACAGTATTATACTCTGTTTTAGTTCAAACTAGGGAGTAAGAATTGTATGAAGCTTACATTTAATTGTGATTGGAGTGGTTTATAAACTGCAACAGGAAAGAGGGAGGGAGGGATGGAGGGAGGGAAAGAATTTAAATGAAATTCGATAGGCTGGGTCCTGTCATTAAATTTCAGTTTTCCTTAGGATTTATTTCCACTGTGCTGAAAAGTTAAATCAAGAATATCCTATTATGATTTTTCCTTGATAGAAAGTAAGCATAGGTCCAATGGACCTGAACTCACCATTAGATAACAAAGATGATCCATTTTAGAAGTTCTAAGTTGGGCTCTCAAATCTAATATTATGATCTATGAACACTTACATTGACTGCTGACTGATTGCACACAACCATTAAGCGTTGAAAGGAAGATGAAGCTATTTTAACACTTTCCTCTATTTTTGTGGTTATCATCTAGTTGATAAATCCAGCTTTGCACAAATCATTGCTTTTATGACATCTTTGTTTAATTTGTGACAGTGTGAAAGATGAATAGCTATTTCCAGGATCTGAGATCATTTAATCATGGTAGAAATAAAATATATCCTACTCTACATACTATTTTTATATTATTTTCCAAACTTAACTATCCTTTGTAATGTGAGCATGTTGGAATCAAAGTTCAGTTTCCTATCTGAAATACAAAATCACCAAGGTAAAGTCATGATTTAATGTCTTGGTTTCTACATTAAAGCAGCTAATGGAGTCTCAGCTTGAAGGAGTACTACAATTAGTCATTTTCCTCCATGTCATTCCCTAAATGCAGATTTATCCATTAACAAATTCTGCATGATCCAATTACTTCAACAGTGGTCTGAGAGAAAATTAGATTTTCATTCAGCCACTCTTTCAGAGACAGAAAAAAAGTTTCATTAGAAACTCTTGCAGCAGTTGATTCCAGTGACATATTTAAAAACTTATTTTAAATACTACTTAAAGTTTCCTCCTCTTGTTAGGTATTGGCTAAAAGCTGCCATTCATTCTGCAACAATGATCCATATCATTTCAGAATGCTTGGTGGAGTAGGGAGGTGTCAAAAAAGTCAAAATGTTGGGAATGATTAAATAAAGTCTTAGCTTTTTTAATGTTTATGTAAAAAGGGATGAGTTTGCCTGTATGATCTTGAATTTTTTTGAGCCCTTCCCCACAGATACCCTACTGTAGTAGAACAAGATTAACAACTGTCAATTCATTGATTTAATAGACTTTTACACATACACACATTTGTTAAATGGAATCAATTCAGATTGACAACTCCCATTGCAACATCAGTTCTCAACATGCTCCTGAATTTGATGTTTCTTTTTCCTGAAAATTTAGAACATCAAACTACAGAGCATGTTGAGAAAGACATCATCATCAGTTTCAAACACTTCCTTTAAAATTTAATTAATGTATTTGTAATGAAGAGAAAATATCAATTTCCTTGGGAATTAGCTTGATTAGCAAGTATTTTCAGAGCCAGTGTCTATTAAGTTTAAAGGCTATGAGATGAAGGCTTTGGGGCAGAAAGAAAGGAAAGACAAGATCGACAATGAACCAAAGCTAAAAGATCACCTGATGGATTTCTCTATTTATGTCTGTAAAAGTTGTCCGACTCTTCACTTCCCTGATGGAAAACTGAGCCATTCCTTAAAAATTTAAAGGAAGGAAAGAGGGTAAGTTGCTGTAAATGGGAAAGAACTGCCTGGAGTAGATTTGTCTGTTGGAGAAAGGAAAGATCAGAGATATAAGCATCTATTACCATGATGGCATATCGCTTAGTTGGGACGTTTTAACTTGATTTAATAGTGTGACAGACTGAAGCTACTTATCTGCTCCCACCTCCATATATGAAGGGGACATCCCTAGAGTGGTGTCAAAAGTGAAAACACTTAAAAAAGCCTGATTAGGAGCCCATCCTCCATATGGAAGACTACAGTTGATCCATTAAAAGATTACCGGAAAAAAATGTCCCCCAAATCCAGATTGACCAAGCAATGTTGGCTGACCAATTTTTTTTTTTATCTCAGGCTTGAAATACCATTTGAGGATTAGAATGAATCAGTCTATTGCATAATATCAGCTAGACCAATGATCTCAATTTATCATATGCAAATCAAGGATAGGAGTTAGAAGTAGTCTAGGCTGAACAAATCATTAAAGCTTTAAGCTGCAAAATGTATTGAATTTGTTGACAATTATTGATCAACATATAAAGGAAAAAATGAACTATATCAAAATGTTTGCAAATAAATGACTTTTAATAAGCTTTTTGGTTTTGGATGATAGAACAGGTCAAGTTCTTCAACAGAGAGATTGCTTGGAGTTGCAGTAAAATAGATTGAGAACTCCTAAACTAGATTGATACTTTCAAAGAAATCAAAACCAGCCATCTGCATGTGAATTTGATCAAATTATCCCATTAGTTTCTGAAGACCTTCACTGGGGAAGATAGATAAATAGAATAAGTGTTCTCTCTGACATGTTCTAAAAATTTAAATTCAAATATCTGTGTATGTGGACACATCCTGTGTTACCATTTAAAACAGTGTTTGTGAATATAAATTATTTTGCAGGATCAATCTGGATCAGTCACCGGGACCAGAGGTTTAGTCTTCCGAGCTTTCAGACTCATGCTGGAGCCGATGCTCAAGGAACTTCTCTCTAGCAGAGTGTATGCTTTGGGCTATACTCTGTGTGGTATTTATATGGTGCCTGGTTGTGTATGGCTTTTAAATGGTTGATTGGAGTATTCATGGCCAGCTATTAAGTCGTTGGTTGTTGTTTCCTTGTGCTGCCAAGTCCTCTCCTCCTGAGTACTGGTGGTAAATCCGCACTCCTGTTGACTGACATTATTTTGTAAAATTGTAATCCAACATTTCAGTACTTCATTTGCAGATTTATCTTAAATTTGAGGGACAAGAGGATAGCTCTGGGACGTTTCATCATCCACCAGAATCTGTATAGAGAAGTGTGGCTATCTATAAACCTGTTTTCTGCCAGCTATGTTGGCTGAGTGAGTTATGTTGCAATGCCTACAGAATGCAA